CAGCCCAGGCTGCTCCAAGCCCCATCCAACCTGCCCTTCAACACTGCCAGGGATGGGGCAGCCACAGCTTCCCTGGGCAACCTGGGCCAGGCTCTCCCCACCCTCACAGCCCAGAATTTCTCCCTCACATCTCAGCTCCAGCTCCCTCTGCCAGCTGGAAACCCTTCCCCCTGCTCCCATCCCTCCCTGCCCTTGTCCCAAGCCCCTCCCCAGCTTTCCTGGAGCCCCTTCAGGCACTGGAAGCTGCTCTAAGGTCTCCCTGGAGCCTTCTCTTCTCCAGGCTCAACACACCAACTCTCCCAGCCTGTCTCCAGAGCAGAGCTGCTCCAGCCCTCCCAGCATCTCCGGGGCCTCCTCTGGCCTCTCTCCAACAGCTCCATGTCCTTCTTGTGTTGGGGACCCCAGAGGTGGCCCCAGCCCTGCAGGGGGGTCTCAGCAGAGCAGAGGGGACAATCGCCTCCCTGGCCCTGCTGGTCACTCTGCTGGGGATGCAGCCCAAGACACAGGTGGCTTTGATGGCTCCTGTTGAGCTTCTCCTCCCCCAACACTCCCAAATGCTTCACACCTCAGGGCTGCTCTCCATCCATCTCTGCCCAGCCTGGATCTCTACTTGGGATTGCCCCAATATGACAAAGAACAACCTGCTCAACCCGAAATGAAGCATCAAGCCCATTCCCATTTCAGCCATTCCCAAGGAATGAAGATTTCAGGCTCCCCAGGAACATTTGTGAAGACCAGCAGCAGGTCTGGAGAGCTGCTCAGAACAACCAGGCTCAGCCCTGCCCATGTTTTGGCTGCAATTACTGCCAAGCCCAGAGATAAACATTTATCTAAGTCAGCCAAACTGAGCTGCTCCAAAGCTTGGAGAGGTCAGAAGAGATAAGTGAAGAAGTGTCCCATTTATCCAGGCACTTTTAAGGGGGAACTGACATTTAACATTGATATTTATAGAAGAACTCCTTCCTCTGAGCTCTGATTTCTTCCTGCCCTTGGTTTAAGAGCAAGAAGGACAAACAAACAGTATTTCCTCATTATAAACTGCCCAAGTCCAGGTTTTCACATCAACCATCCCTGGAGGTGTCCAAGGGCAGGATGGATGGGGCTTGGAGCAGCCTGGAATGGTGGGAGGTGTCCCTGCCCATGCAGGGGGGTTGGAACTGGATGATCTTTAAAGGTCCTTTCCAACCCCCAAAAACCTGTGATTCTGTGATCTGCTCTGACAGGTGATTTGTAGTGATTTTACAGTAGAAACTCAGCCCTCCCCTTCAACGTGCACCTCAGGTTGACCTTGTCTTAATGCTTCTCTGCTCACACCAACACCAACCTTCAGCCAGTGACCCCAAGGGGCTGCACCAGCACCTGACACATTTCAACAGGCACTAAAAGCACTCAGAGCCCACCTGCCTTGCCCAGGGTACACGGGGTGTTCCCAAACCCACACCAGCAGCTCAACATCCCTTTCAGTTCTCTCCATATGTGGCTACTGGGCCATATGGAACAGGTTGCCCAGAGAGGTGGTAGAAGCTCCATCCCTGGGAACATTCAAAGTCAGGTTGGATGGAGCTCTGAGCCACCTGAGCAGGTGTCCCTGCTCATTGCAGGGGGGCTGGACTAGATGATCCAACCCAAACCCTTCTGTGCTTCTATCTCAGGGCAACTGGAAACACAACTTCCAATTCCCAGTTTCCTTGGACTTTGCTAAGGGCAGGAACTGACTCAAGTGGGTGCAACAAGGGTTAAACATTTACAGCTCCAAAATCCTCAGTCTATCAACTGCTTGGAGAAGTTAGATTTGTTTAAAGAAGTCACCTAAACCAGAAAGGATTTGCTCCTGTTCTGGGACCTCCAACTCCAGTGGTTGAAGCAGTGGCAGAGGGCAATGGGCTGGTGGTGCCACAGAGCTGGGACCTGCTCTTTTGGGTCAGAAAGTGAAGGGAAAAGGTCTTGGGGGGTCTCAAGCAGCTAATTCAGAGTCCCCTGTGAAGCCTGAGCTGACCCAGGGCAACCAGGTGGAGCTGCTGGGGTGGGAGGGGAGGACCTGGAGAGGATTTGCAGCAGCACCTGGAAGCTTTTTCTTTTTTCCTGCTAATCTCTGAGCAAACAAGAGAAGGACACAGGATCACAGACCCACAGGGGGAGGACAAACCCATGTTAACCTCATTTTACAGCAAGGGTTGTGCTGTGGGTTAACACCTCTGCTCCTGGTGGGACAGGGTCTTCACACACCCCCCATATTCATAGAACCACAGACTGGGTTGGGTTGGAAGGAACCTTAAAGACCCTCTAGACCCAACCCCCCCCGCACGCACAGGGACGATTCCTTTTCTTAGCTGTTGACTGAGAAGAACTAATCTTTTTCTTCAATCTAGACCAAGTCCCTGGAGAGCTGAGCAGCCTCCTTGGGTCAGCAGCACCAAACGCTGCCCTGGGCAAAGCCAGACCTGCTGCAAGTCCCACAGAGGGGAACAATTCCTGCTATAATGAACATTTTCCTTTCCCGCAGCATCTCTTCGAGGGGGTTCAAGGCAACTATCTCAGGAATATCACAGAACTGTGGGATGGGTTGGGTTGGAAGGGACATGAAAGATCATCTAGATCCAAACCCCTGCATGGGCAGGGACACCTCCCACCATTCCAGGCTGCTCCAAGCCCCATCCAACCTGCCCTTCAACACTGCCAGGGATGGGGCAGCCACAGCTTCCCTGGCCAACCTGGGCCAGGGTCTCCCCACCCTCACAGCACAGAATTTCTCCCTCCCATCTCAGCTCCAGCTCCCTCTGCCAGCTGGAAACCCTTCCCCCTGCTCCCATCCCTCCCTGCCCTTGTCCCAAGCCCCTCCCCAGCTTTCCTGGAGCCCCTTCAGGCACTGGAAGCTGCTCTAAGGTCTCCCTGGAGCCTTCTCTTCTCCAGGCTCAACACCCCAACTCTCCCAGCCTGGCTCCAGAGCAGAGCTGCTCCAGCCCTCCCAGCATCTCTGGACTTGCTTCAGCAGCTCCATGTCCTTCTCATGTCCTTATCTTACAGTAACAATTCCATTGACAGCTCTTGAAGTACCTCCACACACAACATCAATAGGCAAGAATGTGTCAAAAAGCAAAGCAGATCATGAACCAATTTAGGCAGAACTAGACCTAGGATTTATAAGAAACCCCTTTGAGGGTTTCAACCCTTTAAACTCTGCCACAAGTTGGGTTTAGCTTTAGCTGAGTGTGGCACTGACTGGCCAGAGGTGGAAGGAGGCACTGGAAGAGAAGACCATTGGGAAGAGGTGTCCACCAGGTCAATGCTCAAGGCTGCTTTTGGCTGGTGTTGACCTTTCAACAACATCTTTTGGCTTCATCATTTGAACACGACAAAGGGAGAGGGGGCAGGACTGGATGCTGGGATTTGATTTGTTTGAGATGCCACCATCATCCAGGGCAGGGTTTTGTCTCTTGTGGGCATGTAAAGGGTACAAAGTGCCAGAAGGAATGTCCCCTCAAGCCAGTTCCCACACTACATCTTCCTCCTCGAGTTGGAACCTCAGCAAGGTACACTCCATCCAGCCACAAGGAGCAAATCCAACCTTGCTTATCCAGACCAAAACTCAGGTTTAAATCAGAACAAACAGCACAAGGTGACCCATGGCAGGACGTGCCACATTCCAGCCTGGCTGGAAAGATGGGGGAATTCAAGACAGGCATGAAGACAGTGATTTGGTTCCATCTGTGAAGGCAAAAACCAGCTTTGCCCAGGCTACAGCTCCAAGGACAGACAGTGAAGCCCTTGAGAGTTGCAGCTACTTGGATTTAGGAGTCCACCCTGCTCTGCAGCTACACGAACAAGGTTGTTTCCAACCTCCAGCAGGAAAAAACAACCCAGCTCAAACTGAAAAGCCTCACCTCCAGAGCTACAAGGGGTTAATGACTTCTCAATGCAGGTGTGTGCTGGTTACATTTCAAATGAGCCAACCTTCACTTCCACCTGATGCTTCCACCACCAAGAGCCGCTCGGAGCTGCTTCACCGAGCAAAAAAAAATCATCTTGGTTTTCCTGGGCAAGATCCCTGCTCCCAAACCCACCAACTTCTCCATCACCAGGCTCCAGAGAACAACCCCAGAGCAACATGTTTGGCTTCATCATTCCCAACCTCCTGCTCCTGTGAGAAAATGGAGAGAAATCCTCCAGAGACCTGGGATCTTCTCTAAGCAGGAGACGGCGTTGGCTCCAGGAACAAGGGATTGGAGGGAAGAGCAAGAAAAGGAGGGGAAAATAAAGAGGTAGAGAGAGAAACAAATGTCCTTCTTAAATATTAGGGTCCTAAAGACTGCCCTCACCTGGGCTTTAGTCCCCGGGTCCCTGTTGATGTTGTATTTCTTCTTGTTGGGCATGATGGCACCACCAGCAGCCCCGCGGCGCCGAGTCCCGCCGGCGCAGGGGCTGCCCCCCCATTTATACCTCCCAGCCCGATCCTGCCCGCTCTGGTTTCAGCTGCTGGAGGGAGGGAGAGAGAGGGAGGGAAAAGGGAACTGCTGGGATTTGATTATTATTTGTTTTTTTTCAGACTCCTTGGGTTGGGTTTGTTTGGGTTTTTTTTTTCCTCTCTTGGCAGGGAAGGACCCCAAGACTTACCGAGGCCGAACAAGCCCTACTTGTGTTTGATGGGGAATTACAGCATTTCCCTGACCCCTGGGCACTCAGGGGCAGCTTCTAACCTGGCCTGGCTTGTGCCTGCACAACAATAGCTTATTTATATAACCAGAACATTTCCCTGCTCGCTATAATTAACTTGCTAATTAGGCTCTTTCTAACTTGGGTTCTCTCCCCCCCGCACCTTCTTTTTTTCCCCAATGTCAGATGATTACATTAACAGAGCCTCATTAGAAGAAAATTAACTAATGAGCAACTAAAATATAATGAAGGCATTTGTTAAATGGCAAAGTGGGTTTTAATTATGCCTGTCCCTGCTCTGTCCCCCATGGGAGCAAGGGCAGAGAGTCCCTCCTTGGTCCTTGGAAAGGTTCAGACCCTGATCCCCCATCCAGCTATTGCTACTTCAGAACATTCCTCTTAAAATCATCAAATCTTGGAAGGGGTTTGGAATGGCAGGGACCTTTCAAGGTCATCCTAGTCCAACCTGCCACGAGCAGGGACAGCTTCAACTAGACCAGGTTGCTCAGAGCCCTGTCCAACCTGTCCTTGAATGGTTGCAGGGATGAGGCACCTACCACTTCTCTGGGTAACCTGGGCCAGGGTCCCACCACCACTCGTAAAAAATCCCTTCCTCATATCCAGTCTCTTCCCACTTCACAGGTTCCTGCTGCAGCAGAAGGGCTGTGGTAACACCACAGGGATGCTCATCCAGCAGTTGGGTCTGGGGAGCACCACGTTTTGCTACCAGCAATGGAGCAAACCCAAAGCACATCCTTTTTTTAGTGACTCTTCATTTCACGGTTGGAGACGATGACCAAAGAGTTTTGTCCCTGACGAGGTACCCAAGACAATTCCCATGGAGAACCTCAACAGTGAAGAGGGAGCTGGGAAGCAATGGGACATCACCAACTGACCTGGACATCAGTCCAACTAAAGATGCAAAAAGCCTCCCCTCCAGCTCCATGTGTTATGAAATAATAGAAGCATGGAAGGGTTGGGGTGGGAAGGGACCTTCAAGATCATCCAGTTCCAACCCCCTGCATGGGCAGGGACACCTCCCACCATTCCAGGCTGCTCACACCTGCCTTAGGAAGAAATGACCACTGATCTGATACCATTTTGCACTGATGGGATATAAAACTGTTATGAATCTGGGAAGTAACTGGCAAATGGAAACAAGGATCCTTCCCACTATGGAAATATGGCTGGAAAAGACAAGACTGGGATCAGCACCTTTTGCTCCAACTAATGTTCAAGCCCAAGTTGTGTTTTCAAGGTGAGTTTTTAATTGTTAAGATGGTTGATGATCCTTTTCATGCAACATCCCAAGGGAGATGCTACTTCAGGTCAGCCTGAGTGACCTCAAAGCCTTGAAAGGGGTTTTAAACCTCCCCTTGAGGGCACCACCAAAACACAAATGACTTTTCCAGTAGGTTATCACACCAAGATACTTAAAGAGGCTTTTTCCTGGGAGGAAATTCTTCCCCATGAGGGTAGGAAGGCACTGGAACAGGTTGCCCAGGGAGGTTGTGGAGCCTCTTTCCTTGAGGTGTTCAAGGGCAGGTTGGATGAGGCTTGTGCAGCCTGGTCTGGTGGGAGGTGTCCCTGCTCATAGCAGGGAGGTTGGAACCTGATGATCCTTAAGGTCCCTTCCAACTCAAATCATTCTATGATTCTATGAAAAAGAAAATAAAAAAGCCTTTTTTCAGCAAAGATTCGGTCTGAAATGTTACAATTAAGAACCTCTTTCCTCTCCTGCTCTTCCAACCCACTGCCAAATGAAATCTTAAAGCCCTGTAAGAGCTAAAAAATCCCTGAGCAAATTATGGAGCTAATTAAAATCCAGAGCAGGTCAGGTTTGTGGTCTTCAAGAGCTGTCTCTGCTCAGTTATTCATGTGACAAACTGCCTGGAAAGTCTTTTCCCAGTGGAAAAACTTCTCCTCTGTCTCTGATGCCAAGTGATAAAATGAATTTACCTTTTTATTTCTTTAAATAAAACAGGGTGAAGATCACAAGGGGAGTCATTTTGCTGCTGTGACTCGAATGGAGGGGATGGACACAATTGTTCTGATGTTCCACCAGAGCCCAGATCCCAGACCCAACCTCCTCCTCCCTCCTGATCCCCCTTCATGAAGGAAAAGCTGGTTTCCTCCAGCACTCGACCTGCCAAGCCAGATACTTCATCTCCTGCTCCACTTTCCCCCGTGAAACTGGAGATGTCAACCAGGTGTTGGCACCTGAGGAGAGACCTGCTCCCCTCCCACACCACCAGGGATGTCCCCTCTCACTCCCTGCTTGCAATGATCTGTAAACCTTCAGCATCTCAGGCAGCTTCTGTTCTCCTAATCCACCTCCTCAACCCAGACCACACTGCTCCAACAAAAGGACTGTCCAAAACCATTTATTCCACCATTTCACATGCCCCAAATGAATAGGTAATCCTGACAAGGCTGCTCACTGAGCCAAAACTTTTCACTGGAGCTCCAAGAGTTTCAGATTCCAGTTCTCCAGCCAAAAGGTCACAGGGAGGGAGACAAACTCTGGGATTAACAAACACGTTTAACCCTTTGGCATTTTTCTCCTGCAAAACCACCTTGAGAAGGAGCAGGTTAAGGCTGAGTTTTACCAACAGGACTTGGGACAGCAAGGATGGAAATGAAGAGTCACCCACCCAGGCTCAGAGGGTCTTCAAGCATGTTAGAAATTGAAGCCATGGATTCTTGAAGTGCTGGGTCTGCTGGGCAAACCCTCAGCCCAGGATACTTCTGACTCCTGCTCTGGGTTGAGCTGAGGTTCTGTACTGAGCAAACATCAGAACATGGCCCCAAACTTCTAAATTTCTTATCATTTACTAAGACTGAGATTGATTTTTGACTCTCAGGCCTCCAAGGTGATTGCTAATGAGGAGCAAATCATGGGCCATGGCTATTGAAGCCATTCCCCCTCATCCCATCCCTCCCTGCCCTTGTCCCAAGCCCCTCCCCAGCTTTCCTGGAGCCCCTTCAGGCACTGGAAGCTGCTCTAAGGTCTCCCTGGAGCCTTCTCTTCTCCAGGCTCAACACCCCAACTCTCCCAGCCTGGCTCCAGAGCAGAGCTGCTCCAGCCCTCCCAGCATCTCTGTGGCCTCCTCTGGCCTCTCTCCAACAGCTCCAAGTCCTTGGAAGGAGAAATCTTAAAAAAAAAAAGAAAATAACAAACACCTAAACCAGGCAGCTCTTGTGAGGACAAGGAAGAGAGGAACCTGCTCCTCCAGCTGTGAAACAGATCTCTTGGTCCACCCCTGGCTCTGCTGGTCACAGTCCATGACAAAAGAAGAAGCAGTTATTTCCACATTGCTTCAACTGGCAACAAAGGTGTAACTTGGGTTTGGTAACTAAAAATAAAGGTAAGATCTCCAAATTCAGAGATGGAAACAGGTTGCCCAGAGAGGTGGTAGATGCCCCATCCCTGAAAACATTCAAGGTCAGATTGGACAGGGCTCTGAGCAACCTGATCCAGGGGCAGATGTCCCTGCTCGTGGCAGGTTGGACTAGATGACCCAGGATAACAAGTCTTCCCCAGGAAAACCATTGACTATTCCAGCCAAAGCCTCTCTCAGTTCTCTACAGGTGATCAGAGATGATCAAACCCCCCGCTCAACGAGACAACCTGAAGTCACCAAAACCTCCCCAAATCAGACAGAGAACATTCCTGCCTCCCACCCCCACTATTTCACAAAACTTGGAAAATCCAGAATTCCCCCTTCTTTGGATCCCATCCCCACAGGGATGAGACATTCAGGTCCCACCAGCACCCACAAAACTTTCCCCCTGCCTGCTACCAAGGTGCTCAAGGTCAATATTAGACCCCAGTTGTGGATTATTCGAAAAATTAAGGGGTTTATCCAATAAAGGGAACTGTATCTCCATCAAAATCAACCTCCTGCTGATCTGCTCCCAACCAGCAGAGTCACAGAACATGGGAGAGCTTTTATTTTAACCTGTTCTTCTGTGAAGCAAGGCATTATTGTTGTTGTTGTTGTTATTATTATTATTATTAATTACTATTATTATTATCTGAGGCACATGGTGTGATTCTTGGGGTGCCCTACACAGGGACAGGAGTTGGACTCAATGATCCCTTCCAACTCAACATATTCTATGATTTATTATTATCATTATCATTATTATTATTATTATTATTATTATTATTATTA